AAAGGCTTTTCTTTTTCTTACCTGGAACATGGGGCTGAAGTATCAAACTGCCCGTGATGTTGCAAACGAAAAAGGATATCACCAGAACATCTCGGCACTAATAGTCGCTGACAATATGAGAAATGCAAGGCATCTCTTAATGCCCAACCTCCAGCGAGCACTTGTCGCCTTTTCTCATGCTTTCGCTCTGCGTGGATTGTTGAGGCTTGCAAGATGCCAAAGCATTGCCAAATGTAGGAAGCTCCTCCCTGCCATTCTCGTCTTACATTTGGTCCTCGAGGCACACTCCAAGTTGGTACAAGAACATGTGATGGTCTACTGAACACCCAGACACGATTCGGGCGATATGTTAGATATCGTCATTAACGGAATGCGAATGGCTGGGAATGTCTTACAAATGTCCAGCCTCTATGCATTGCCGAAGGTAGGAAGCTCATGCCGGGGGCAGGAAACTGAGGTTCCTCTCCGCGTCCTCACCTCGTGAGCGACTTTTAAAAGTGGCAATGCTAAACCATGCAATAAAGGTTTTTACGAAACCAATTTGTGGTTGATCTTATCAAAAGCATGTTATAAATCAAAATAAATTATATGAACTTGCTTCCGTCAAAAACAAATGGTGCTGTGTATTCAAATTTACATAAAATAGTTTTTCCTGAGCAACCTTCGAAAAAACATTGCATTGAATAGTGTCGCTTTTTAACTGGAGTAAAAAGGCCCATGTCTGTGTATAACTATCTAGACACTTTCAAACGAGCATACAGTAAGGAAATGAGGCAATGACTGTCTACCCCATACATGTCACCAGCGTCCTATACTTGTACTACGAGACCTCTTTCAGCACAATGGAAGATCATGATTTCTCGGAGATGAAATGAATGCTTGAATAAAGGGACAAACAAATCGGCGCCGCCCTTAACAATAAAACAAGATATAAAAATCTGCACTCGCAGAACAGCCTGGTTTTAATTTCTTTATTGCTTATAACATTTCGGTGTCAACTGGATTGATTGCTACAATGTTGTTCGTCAATATTAGTGAAAAAAAAGATGTGCTTGCATTGACCAAGGTGCAAACATTGTAAAAACATTTTTCAGGAAACACAGATCTCCAACAATCATCGGTCCCGCTGGGCAATGGTAACAATACATGTACAAACATTCTCACATCTAGGTCAGTTGACAAGCTTCTGAAAACGCCAGACGCCTTTTTGCAGTGCGTCCGCTCAGTGGCGCCTGCCACACTATCAGCCCACCCTATGGACAGATTGGACAGATCCGGTGGAATGTTCGATGCACAGTACCTGCAGTGGAAAGTGATTTTATTGTGGTTCTTATAGCTCTTAGGCACCAGTTTCCGCATTTAGCGGTGTCGCCGTCTATGTAACTACCTCGCTAAATTTAGCGGGAAATTGAATTGGTGTTGAAGTCACGTGACGCCAATTTTCCCGCTAAGTCTAGCGGAGAAACTGAATTTGTTCATGGGTGTTAGTCATCTGACGTCATTTTCCCCCGCTAAATATGTGTTGGGTCACCTGACGTCAATTTCCCCGCCAAATTTAGCGGGGAAACTTAACCCACTAAATTGGGCAGGAAATTTAGCTAACATTTTCTGCTAAATTGGAGGGAAGGGAGAGGTAAACCCTCCCCTCCTCGTCAAGTGCTGCGTTCTACTTTCGCATTACAGAGAATTATAAACGTCTCATTTTTTTTTTACGCTGCTCTTCGGTGGAGCTTGTCAACCGATAGATCCGAGAACATTGGTGTTTACCGCCTGAGCGGAGGCATCTGTTTTCCCAAGCACCGGTTTTGAAACCCTCCTTTTCTTGAATCCTTTCAAGAAGACACCCAGTTAAAGGGCAACTCCGGTCCATACTTTCGAGTTTGGGATTATGACAGTTTTTAATGCAGTCAGCGTCCCTGAATTGCAAGGTATAATTTTTTTCTCGTTATTGTGTGTAGTTTAAAAGATATCGACGCCCCATAGTTTTGTTTGGGGCGCGGCCAACAAAACCGAAACTAGCCGCTCGAGGCCCGGACAACACTGGAAATCAGCCGCTATGTGAATGTGACGTTGGGATCGTTCTCGTTCAACGAGTACGCAGGCCGAGTGGCACCTACCTCAGTTGCGCTAGCCGTCTAAAGATAGGAAGTAAGCTGATTTTGTTTTAATTCTGTGTACGTGGTAGTTATCTAGCATATGTAGCAAGAGTTAGTGCGTATACCCAGAAGCTAGCGCTTGGAAAACCCGTGAGCTCGTACGGTGCCGTACTCGGCGGCCGCCGCCGTGTGTGCGCTATGCCGTACCCGTCACTTGTATACCCAAAAGCTAGCGACTGCAAAACAAGTGAACTCCTTCGGTGCCGTGCTCGGCGGCTATCGCCGTGTGTGCGGTCTTCCGTACTCGTCGCTAGGCCTAAATTGTCATCGGGGCTCCGTGGATTGGAGCGGCGTTAATCTATGCCGCGCTGCTAGTGACGTACAGTACTGGGGGCCCTCTCACTTTCGCGCGGCGGGTCAGTCCGAGACACAAAGCTTTGAGGCTCTCTGGCGTGGGCCGCGGCGCCCGAACACGTGTGCTGGGCTGTATGCGTCTGTTTTTTCATTCTTTTTTTTTTTTCCTCGGGCGCATAAAAGCCGAAGTCCAAAGTCCACTTGCCGAACAGCGTTCACCCACACCTTCTCCAATTTCCGGTCCGTTGGAAACGTGTGAAAAAGCACCTCCGTGCTGCGCAGCGGGTTGTTTGAGCATCCCACAGCGCTACAAGTTGCACTCGGCATCTTTCGAGGAACAGCTGGGCAGTCTTGGGCGCACCGATGCTTGCTAAAACGAGTCTTGAAGTCCTCGCAAGCCAATAAACAAAAGGGTATACCGAAGCTACATGGGCTACAGATAAAAGCAACGGCTAAACACGCCAATCACAAGCCGAAGTAGCGGTGGTAGCGGCTCAGAGAAGTGCGCTCCGTGCAATGCCTGGACCGGAGCAAAAAAAAAGAGAACGATACTGACGTCACGGCCTAATGTTGCTTTAGCGATGGGCAACCCGCTGGCCGCCCGCTAAGGAGCAGCGGCTCGCGGCGGGTCGCATTTTTATTATCGGCATTAGTTGAGAATGCGGCGTCCCACGGACGTAATATTTTGGCTGGGGTCGTATTTTGTGTCACTATAGCGATACCAGTAATTTATTTCATTTTGAGTTTTGGCCGGAGTTGCCCTTTAAGAGAAAATGGCGACAAACAACCTTTTAGCAAATTTGTTCTTAGAAATACGCAATTCACCGAACTTGGCTGCATGCTCTAGCATTTGCTTGTTCCGCCTTTGCCAATGACAAAGCCGAGCCGGTCAGTCAGCAAGTCGGTCGCTTGGGCGGCCAGCATGTTCAGAGTATTATAGACAAGTTTTCATGCTTGTCACAACACTGCTGTTTTCACAATAATAATTTTACGTTCTGCCTGGTTTACGGCCTAACAAAGAAGAGCGGCTGCTCAAAGCATAGGTCAACAAGCTTCACTGAATCGTGCGGTAGCCTTTAGCTAAGTCTTTCAGACGACGATCGAATGGAATCACTAAACGGCGCTCCTCCACAACTGCTTGTTTTAGGTGCAGTACATTCTATTAGCTTAAAATAAAGGCACACAGCTAAAGCACCTCAGCGATGCCTAGCAGGGAGCGAAACAAATCTCTCTCTAACAAAGCCTGCGTGGTTACCGAGACATCACGTTATTCAGAGTGCAGATGCAGAGTATAACCACTGTACAGCTTTGTCTCCGTATTTGCATTATCTTCCAAGGTATTGTCCAGGTACAGGCAGCACTGCCGAGCAGACAAGCAAATAAATAAATATTTAACAAAAAGTACTGTTCAGTTTCGTACCACCAACATTACCGTCTTACTTCGGCTCTTCACTAGATAGTTGACAGCTGCCCGATGCTTTCCAGATATGCGGAAGCAAAACATTTCATCAACATAAGTGCTATCCGCCACCGTTTAGCCAAGTGTTCTTTGCGAACATAACTGGGCTGCCTAATGATATTATAGAACGCCGCAAGTTAAATAATTTCAAAACAAAAGCGGTTCTTGCAATTGCACTACATAAAAAGAACAGTGCAGGTAGAGCTGCATGGTACCTACGTTTGTGGATATTTGCTAGCAAAATAGCAGGTATTGAAAACAGGAAAATTAACCAGAAAGTGTGATGGGTTTGGGAGGGACAGAAACGTGGACAAAAGGCAAGCAGTTCAGAGACGACCCACCGAGCTAACGCTGTACAAAGAACAATCTTAACCTGAAATACTACTTTCTGTACAAACACAAGATACCCACGATATTACACGATAAATAGCCACCAAAATTAACGTACCAATCAGGCAGTGCTGTTCGTAAGTCGCGTAAATCGCCGAAGTCACGGAACGTTCACGAAGCAAAACGGCCATCTTGGAAAAATCAAAATAGTGATGATGATAGCGATGGGTCTTCTGTAAAAACTCCGAGGACAAATGTAATCAGTTTTTTTTTTTTTTTTTCGTTTTCATTAATGTAAGGAACACATATTCACCTTAGCAGAAACTTAAAATTATGGCAACAAAATGGCCTTAAGTTTGAACATTTAGTTGTGCCGAAATACACTTGGTAATGTTTCAAATCTGCAGAACGCAGATTTGAAAGCCCTTGCCGATTGCCTTTCCGTGAGCGTGTGAATGGTCAAAAGCCGATGCAATGATAGGCTGAAATACTCCGGAGATAGCATGCTTAAAGTGGTCAGAAATATTAAACGGGGTATATCTATTGTCTTTCCATCGAACTTTTCGGAGCTTAATCTTCTCAATAATTACCTTCTCGCATGTTTCACAGTAATCCGTGGCATGGATTCACCACACTATTTTTGTCAAGTGTGGCAAGAGGTATGCACCACCGTCAGAAAAAAATATGAGAATTTATTTAATTACGACAGGAAGCCACGAAAGGGGAAGATGGCAAGACCCGATCCACCAAAAAGGAGTGGGCCTAAGAGTGCAGTCTTGGTCCATGATTCACGACGGTAACCTATGATGAATGCAGAGAACAAAGGAGTCCATCAGGTCAACAGGAACCAATATCTGACCCGAACATGCAAGGAAAACGCTCAGTTGGAAAACTCACTCTTGTAACCAGGACCGCTGGCATCCACCGAGACCAAACTAAATACAATAACAGCGCCACCCTTCTGCAACGAATTAAAACATGCAAGTTGTTTTATTTAGCTACTGCAAAATGGCCCTGCGAGATGGCGCCACGTAGAGTTCCTGTATAGGCTCTTTACAGGAGCCATAGTTGCATGACTGTTTTCCACGTACCGCCGCACCGCTACTCACCGAGATGCGACCTGGTGAAGAGCAGACTCAAATGCCGTGCACGAAAGTACACATTGCACGCACCCTGGCATACGTTCCCCTGCTTTTGAGCGCACCGTGCTGCCATTCGCCGGCTCCTTATACCGTGCAGGAAAGACGGCGCTACGGGGATGAACACGCAATTTTGGCTCCCGTAGGGAGCCTATACAGAAGAGTCAGCGCCACTGACTCTTCCGCAACTTGACGGAACCACTAAGTGTAGCCGTGTAGTTTCCTTAGTGGCTGATGTGGGAGAAATGGTGGCGTTGCAATAGACTTCTTCCAAACCGACGCGCCCCATCGCAGCGAAATACCACGCAGTGCCCTCTGGGAATTTATTGGCCACTTAGTTTCGGTTTCTACTGAGCAGCTTCATCTCATGCTATCACGCCGCGACCGAATACGCTGCTCATGTTTTCGATTATCTGAGCTTTTTTTTACGAATGTACAATACACTCATTCTCGAGCGATACAAAACGAAGACCGGGGCACTTTCCTTGGTTCCAGAAACACCGGATATTATGCGTGCATATGCAAACGTAGTAAGACGTGGCTTAGTCACCTCACCCCACGAGTGCGTCTTTGAGCTCAGTGTCAGTAATCCCGTCCAGTACCAGTGAACTACAACTGAAATTTGGTCACCTTGAGCCCTACACATGTTTTGTTTGCCAAACGTACGCTTCTTGTTACTTCATTGGGCGAAAAGCAAGCCACATCCTCACAGGAGTATCAAAGTTAAGCCCAGCATTGGCGCATTAACTTTTAAGGAAACAATAAATTCAACCTCACTACTGCACAAAAGTTACTGTGATGTCTTCCTCATGTCATCACATATCTCACACTCAAATTTTATGCTGATAGAAGATTAAGTTAAGATCGGCTAGCTACGACGGAGGACCTAACAAGCGTCCCCAACTCCTCCTCAGCCTTTTTGGACGAGCTTTTACTGACGCCCAAGATCTGTGCCTGAATGGTGTGTCTGAAATGATCTCGGCATACTCAGTCAGAAAGAAAGCAAACACATAACAAATATTATGGCCATTAGCAACCGTCAAATGCGCTTTGAATAATTTCGTTCGTTCAACACACCGCAGAATTCATGCCTGTCCAGTGCACTTCCAGCGAACGGTGCGACATTGTTCACACAAGTGCTCGACTTCTGCTTTCTTTTTTTGTATGTGCGAATGTACCTATATTATTGCAGGATAACTTTACGCGCATACCTGATGTTGAATATTAGTGGAAGCCAAGCGGGTGGGGACTTCACTTTGTGCAGTGCTGCGGGGTAGTACAGATAAGAGATGAGAAGTGTGTTCGAATGGAGCTTTTCAATGGCACGTCAGAGTTTTACTTCGCATACTCAGGCGTATTAAGAAAAACAGTAATTGCAAAAAGTTATATTTCGTCTATGGACGCACGAAAAAAAAAAACCCAAAAAACTTCCTGATCAGCAACACTAATGTAAAGGCGCGAGCTCGATGTATGCATACTTATTGGTTGCTACAGCTTGTTGATTCGTACACAAGCAAGATCCCTGAGCTTCGCAGCGTCGACATTCCCAGCACTGGCTCGTCCACATACCTCGAACCGCTAACAAAAAGGCTCAAGTACAAAAATACAACAAGCATGCAATAAGACAAGCTATACTTCTCGGGCTTGTGCTAAAGTTTCGAGGTCTGGACATTTAGGTTAGTTTAGAGACCACAAATGACGCTCTCGATACCAGAAAATATGAGATAACGGCCGTTTATGGTTAACGCTCTGTGTATGTCTTGTCGACGTGTCAATCGAAACCGAAACCATGCAACTCTCCTCCCTGGCTAACTAGTTCCCAGAGTGCCACGCGCGCCGTGTTGCATGCAGGAATTTATGGAAGTAGTCTATTGCGTTTAGTTCGGTTCTCGAGCATGGATGGAAGCCACTAATCATTTCTTCCTAACAAAAGCTGGCATATGTAGATTTTTCACTGAAAAAAGTTAACCTTGGGGGCTTTAGTCCCCCATCCTTAAAATCTGCCCATGATGGAGGTGCCAAGAAAATGAGGGAGAAGAGTGGAAGTGAGCACGCAAGGACGTCAGTTAGTTGTTTGCGAGTTTTATGGCGCAAGAGCTACGATGGCCATACTGCGCCAAACTAGGTAAACTAAAATTGACTAGTCGCAAGGACGTCAGGACACCAGAGCTCTGGTTAGAGGGATTGGAGGGTACACCTAAAGCTAGGTGCCTTTGTCTCCACTGCACTTGTCGAGGACGTTTCAATGCGAGAGCCAAACACTGGACGCCCGCGTTCTGCAGTCGAACGTGTTCAACGAGTGCAGCAGAAACAAAGGCTGCCTTTATCTCCACTGCACTCGTCAAACGCATTCGAATGTGAATGCGAAACGCTGGACACCGACGTTCTGCATGTGCAGTACAGACAAGGGCAGTTAGCTTTAGGTCTACCCACTAATCGCTCCAATCGGAGCTCTGCGTTCTGACATTTCTGCACTCTCATCCCCTCCTCTCACTCAATTTCTCGGCACATAGAGTTCTGGAAGTTTAACAACAGTGGCTAGTGAAAAATCCAACAGACATGACATCCACAAAAAAAAAAAACAGCTTTCTTTGGGATTTTTTTGAAGGTGTTCTAAAATGCACTGAGAACTCCAAGTCGAGTTACTCCGTTCGGAGCTGAAGGAGTTGATATTGAACGCACCATCACCACTACTGCAAGGGAGGTCATGTGGAAATATTGTGTCCCTGAACTGCTCCTGCCGCTTCAAACACCTTAGAGTTGTCGGAGCTGCTCATCGGTTTCAAGTCGTACCCAAAACCAGCAATGCGTGTTGCTGTGGAGGGGGGAATAACTCATCAGCTGCCCAAAAACTATATGAGTAACTTATCCCATGAGTAGCGGGCCTTATAGCAAGCTCGTTTCAAATGCACTGGCATTATGCGAGTCATCTCATAGAGTGCACCGCACTCGCGGAGTGCCGCACAAAGAACCGGTCTCAAACTAACTTACCGAGCGCAGCCTGATGCTGTCACCATCTGCATTGTAGTAAGATTGCAGTCCTCAAACTGAAATTAGCGCTACGCTGTTCGACATGACGGGCAGGAATGCGATTGAGAGTTGCTGCAACGTGTAGTTTATATCTGTGACGACTTCAAACAGCACGGCTGTAAGAGATATTTACAGATGGCATTAGTTCCTGTAACCTGCTCAGTACCAAACAGCTGTAACTTTTTGTTAAACGATACACTGAAAAAAACTGTGCGCAAAAGCTTGATCAGAGCAAACGCAAGAAATTTGGAGGCTAGGCGCGCCTTGCGGAACACAAGGATGCCCACACGACTCTTTCTCTGAAGCGTGCTCCTTCTGTACGAACAGCCCAAGTTAATTTTAGGGTTAGAATATTTTTTGCCAGTTTCACGCTCTTTTGGATGGGTGCGAGACGGGCTCACTCTCGTCGTAAAGCGGTACTCGGTCTTGTTGACTGATATTGCCGTTTCGTTTGACACCGCGATGTGCAACACTCTCGAAGCTAGCTAGCTGTAGGGCACGTTTCATTGTTGATTATCGCCGCTTGTCCAGAAAGCTCTGTGACACTTTGTCGCTGCCAGATGACACTGTGCTGAACGTGCCGTTGCGCCCAACGGACAGGCCACGTGACACACCTTCGGCACTGGATTGGCTCCGATGGCTCGCAGCATTCAGAGTAAAGTGCGGTATTGCATTTTGGGCTCTAGTAACTCACCACTGCCGAGCTGCTACGCCAGAAGCACTCAGCAGACCCCACCAACTCACCTCTACGTTGACAGGGTGGTAGGAGCCATGTGGTTGGTGGGCCAAGCTTTTATTGCCTCATGTCCGACCTGCACATCTGTATGAGAAAGGGGCATGATAAGTGATGCAAGACTGAAAATCGGCTGGTTCACCGAGCATGTAGCCTCCCTGTCAGTTAAGGGGTGAATGAAGTCTAAAGTTGGTATATAACAGCCGTCTACTGTCCCACTCTCAGGCACGCCACCCATGACCAGTCCAGTCGTTGATCTTTAAAGGGGTTATGACACGAAGATTAAACGGATAGACTATTCTTGAAATGGAATGCTCATACGCTACTTAGTATATACACCAAGTTACGCAATTTTTAGAGCTCTGATAATTGCAATATTCAATTTACGAATTTTTATAATTTTCATCTGGCGACCAGGCAACACTGCTCAACTTAGTCACACCATGGTGTCCATAAACCACGTGACCATAAACACTCTCTCATTCTAGGCACCCCCATGATCGCCCAAGCTCTTCTCGTCGCGGTACGGCGCTCAAACAGCTCGGTAAACTGAAAGCTATTCTCGCTCTCGCCCCCCGGCCGGTTGACCTTCCACCCTGCATGCGCCTGCGAGACATTCCCGGACGACGGTGACCACGGCGAACTCGTCGTCGCTGGAGCTCGTCGCCAGTGGGTCGCAGTTAAAATGAACAGCTTCCAACATCTCTTGATAGCAATCACTTTCATCGCTGCTTCGATCAATGTTGAACACTTCGACAAGGCGATCGATGCCGTAGACGTAATCATCACAGACCGGATGCTGGAAACGTGGAAGGTAAACGAGGAAGCTGAGGCTCGATACACCAAGAGAGCCAAGTCTGTGAGTGCGTGCAAGTAGACACCACGCTGGAGGCTGGCTACGTCATCAGCCTCCAGGTCCGCCCGGATCTGAGGGGCCCGCATATAAATCGATTTATCCACGAAATTATCGAGCCTTTTTCAAAACAAATTTAGCAGGATTATAGGAACATACAATGGGTCCTAGCAGTATAGTTATGTAATATTTTATTTTTGGCGTGTCATAACCCCTTTAAGCAAGGTTAAGCAATGACTGCCTCGTGCCACCACACATGAAGGTGTCCACGGAACAAAGCCGCATTGGTCCCGCCATAACCCACACCTTGTCGAGGTAGAAAACTTTCGGGCCCTTTATTTCCTGTGTTGTACAATACCCCAAGAGGTACCTCTGTTAAAACGGGACTATTTTGACCCCCTCGGTCAGAAGCGAGGTCCCTTGCGGCCATTCAGCGCCGTCTACTCATTCATAGATGTTGCTCCTTTCGACAAAATGTCTATGGCGACAGCTGGAGCTAGTGAAAAAGCGGACACCATAGATCTTCCCAAAGCACCCTGTTCTTCCTCAAGAGCGGCTAGTTTATCCAGGAACAGTGCAATGGTGCGTGGTGGTCTATGATCGCAGACCACCGGTCATAGCCGCACCAACGGCGGCGGCGGCGCCCCCCCCCTCCCAACTGACGTCACTCAGGTGTCAAGCATTTCACTCGCATGACGTGACTCCAAGCCATATACTCACTATGGCTGGCGACAATGCATAAAAGGCATGCGCTGGCCCTTTGACCCATGCGGAGTGCAGTGCATGAAGTGGAACGGCATCGGTGACCCAGTCGCTGCAGTTACCCAGAACTGTTTTACTGCTGTCTCGGCGAAGGTGCAGGCCCGCTGTTTGATGCACGTAGGTAGAAGCCATCAGCCGCAAGCATCGGACACCTGGGGTGGAAAATTTTGCACCCAACAATAACCATGAGAAGAGTGGTCTAACCGGTGAATTGCAAAAACATAAAAAGCAGGCACATAAAGAAGTATTTCTGTTACCTTGTCTTGCAAAAACACAAAAAGCAGGCACATATAGAAGTATTTCTGTTACCTCGTCTCATGCTCAAGCATTATTTTGGATAGTATACATCAATAATGCCTGTCTCGCTGTGGCTTTCTGAACAAAATGTAGTAGAAAATACAACCAGTTGAATACCAAAGGAGTAGAACAGAGAGGCACTTATTTGTTGTCACTTTAACATGCACACTACCCAGGCGAAAATTTTCAACTGGGACCAGTTGGTCCCAGTTGCAACTGGTTTATGGAACAATTCCCAGTTGCAACTGGTCCCAGTTGGAGTCGTCCAACTGGGACCAGTTAATCCCAGTTGCAACTGGTTTATGGTACAATTCCCAGTTGCAACTGGTCCCAGTTGGAGTTGGTCCCAGCTGGAATTGGTCCCAGTTACAACTGGTCCCAGTTGGAGTTGGTACCAACTCCAGCAACAATGAAACACGGCACAAAATGGAAGGTTGACAATACTTTATTGTCAAAAACTTGGAGAATGAAACTAAATAGGTTCGGTGACGTACACGCTCCGGGTTTAGCCACTTGCTTGCGACGGTTGAATCGCTTTTTCAGAGGTGGTATTCAAGGAAGATCGGCCGCTGGCGTCTGTTAGTGAAGACGTCCTCAGCTTGGTAACCCTCAGCTTCTCTTCCCATCGCGTGAAGAAAGGTGCTCACCCGCGATCCTGCGTTGCGCAGGTGAAGTCCTGATAAGATGCGGTAGCGCTCCCACCTTGCAATCTCTGTCACAACAGTCGAACATTTTCGAGGTAGACCTCCCGCCATTTTCGTCATTGTGCTCTCCGCGGCGTGTTCTCTTCCGTCCGTTCTTTCCTGGGTGCCCTCCGATCGCTGAACTGCATCTTCCCATCCTCGAAGTTCACCGCCGCCACCGTGGTGTGTGTACAGTTAGGTCCAAAGAAGCGCAGCTGTAGTTTTGACATTTTCATAACGACGCCAACTTGGGCGATGGCGACCCTTCTCTACCGCGTCCGTCCGACTCCGGCGTCAGCATAGGCAGCGCCATCTGTCGACAGCGCGTACCACTAATCCGCACCCGCGTGCCACGGCGGCCGGCTAGCTCTGATTAGTCAAAAGATAAATTTATTTATTAAAAGAAAAAAAAAATACTGTAGGTATTTAAATAAATGTTTTAACATATTTTAATAATGCACTAAAAGTGTAAATGTAGGTGAACACATTTTGTCACTAATTATATTTTCCAATTAAAAAAATACTTAGTTAATTAAAATTTTTATGTTTTTATTAATATAAATGTACCCCACTAATTAAAAATTTCCCTATTTGAATAAGTCTAAAAAATGTTAGTGTTTTTAGTTTTCTTCATTAGCAAAGGTCAGTACACCCCCAACTTGTCAAAATTGTTGCCCCGTGTGAACTGGGAACGGGAAAGGCATTTGAAGTCCGACTGGGAATCGCTCCAACCAGTTACCTTCCTAACTGGTCCCAGTTCACTCCATTCCCAACTGGGAGTGAAACCAGTTGACTCCCAACTGGGAATGGTTCAAACCAGTTGACCCCTCAGCTGGTCCCAGTTGGACTCCTATTGGTCCCAGTTGATTCCCAGTTGGGACCAGTTAGTTCCAGTTGATTCCCAGTTGGGACCAGTTAGTCCCAGTTGAAACCAGTTGAGGTGCCAACTGGTCCCAGTTAGAAATTTTCGCCTGGGTATGGAAGAGCACAACTCTTCGCCATTACCTGTAGCAGAATCGCTTAGCAGTTCTGCTGCAGGTGTGAATGTACCACGAGGCAGAATACAGTATTTGTGCAGAAAACACCATCGCAGGCCTACCAGGACGAACAGCAACATATTTACCCGCCACAAATTCAACGCGCCGTGAGGGCCATTCGCGAAGCCTGATCTGTTTGTAAATCCCGTCTTTCGACAGAACGCTTTTGTGACTGCACGAGCTCGTCAAAAGCTGACGTTCCCAACATGCAAATGCGGCGCAGGCGGCACTTGGGAGCCACATGCCACTCCCGTTGATTATCTCTATTATCTTCTTCTTTGTCCTCGACGCTACGTGAGGTAGCCAAGCGCTATCAAATTCCACCACAGCGGTGTTGAATCGACGATCGAACGCCACTAGTAGGTAAATTCCACTCACCTTTTACTTTCCGAGCAAGCGTCCCACGGGTCTCCATGTGGCGAGACGGGACCTGTTACTGGCTTGCATGAATGCGCTGAATGCGCTGTGGACTTCACTCCCGACGCTCGTTCCCAAGCATTGAATATCACGACCAACTCCACTCGGCAATACCGTGGCACATAACACGACAATGTATAATACAAGAAAGACCGCTGGAACCACTGATATGGAACCAACGCGACCGCTCCGAAAAGCACCCAACAAACACTTGGAGGAACGAAAAGTAAAAACAAAAAGTAAAATTGGAAGAGGCAAAAACAAACAAAACAAAAATTTTCGTCACTTCCTGTTTGTGCTGTTTTGCTTGTTTTTGCTTTTTCTCTCAGCCAATAGGCGTTGCAACCTTACTGCGGCGAAACGCTCGTGTGTCACCTGTTTTCCGTTGGAGGATACAAATCCAGGAGACGGCACCACAACGAACTCCCGATTTTTGGTATTTCAGAAAGAAGGGCCGTAGTGCGTTCGCAATTGCGTTAAAAAACATGTTTTAGGATTGCCGTAATTAAATGTTGTAGAGATGTCGCCTACAAAGCTTCTAAATTTCCTGATTTTTGACGTCACCGATCAAAAGAAGCGAGGAGGCGAGAGGCGGGAAAATCAAACGCCAAAAATAAAAAGGCGCGCACGCGCGCGGGAAAATGTTGTTTCGCGATGCGGTTTTTTTTTTGCGTGTCTATGACTGCAACTTGCATCGTTTTAGACAATAAAAATAAATACGACCTTTGGGGTGTCAGTGCCCCTTAAAGCTCAAATAAACGCCGTATGGATTGCCTATGCAATGTCTGGTACGTTCCCTTTATTTATTTTATTAGTAGTAAACGTTACAAGTCGAGCTAGCGCAGGTACCCTGCCCCCTCCGCGGTAGTGCGTTAGCTACGCAATCAAGCTCACGACGTCTCTATCGGCCTTCGTGGTGGTCATGCACGGTGTCGAAAGCTTTCAATAGTTCACGCCACTATCCTAGTGGGTAGAAAAGCTGACATTTCAGTCGATCAGGGGCGGGTTCTGACGTTCTACAGGCAGAGATTAACAAGCCAGCGAGCTTGGGCTGTGGCACCCGGAATAATAAACAAACTCTTACCCGAACTAAATCACCGGTGCAAAGCCCGTTAAAATTACGAGTCAATTCTTTTCGCGGCGGATTCAAGTGACGGACGTAAACATAAAGTTTCTCCGTTGATTTGTCGAAAGCTGAATACAGCGCTAAGACTACAGCGCCTTGGATGCCTCACCAGCGACAGGTGCCATTTTGTTTTGAAAGTCACTGACGTCACGTCAGCGTCGCGTTGCGATTGGTCGCCGCTTTGCGGTTCGTGAACGCGGTCGGGAGAGATCGGTCCCGAAGCGGTTGGGAAAAACGCGCTCCAACCGCTCGATCCTAGCCGCTTTGCGGTTGAGAACGCGCAGATCCGCTTCGCGAACGCGGATCCGCTTCCAGTGTGAACGCGCCATAAACGTACCAATATATGGCCAGGGGGACATAGTATAGGGAGATAGTCGCACTTATCAGTCGGCTAGTTAAGTAAAATTTTTAACTTTTTAATTAGTGTAAATAGACATAAAGTTCCAATTAGAAACTTGCTGAGCATCATCGAAAACCACTAAATCAACTCTTTTGAAAAAAATTTGATTTAGTGGTTTTGCCGGGAATGCCGTAAAATGCTGAGTCAGCATTTTACGGGGTTCTGTAGAAACGCTACATTTGAACGAGTCTCTAGATTGCGGTTTCTTACTGGAGCGCATCTACGCGGCGGCAGTCGTCCTCCCCAGTGGCTGAGACGCGCAACAAACATGCGCCCTACTTCCCTCCATTCTACGAGGGAGGCGAGGAGGTGGCTTCGCGCCGCGACCACTGGGGAGCAGAATCGCGGGCGCAAAGATGCGCTCCAATAAGAAGCCGAAATCTACAAACGCCTCCAAATAGAGCGCTTTTACAGAACGCCTTAAAATTCTGCTCCGGCGTTATATCCTTCTAAAAAGAGTTTATTTTGGGGTTTTCGGTGATGCTCAGCACGTTTGTAATTGAAACTATCTGTCTATTTACACTAATAAAAAAGTTAATTAAGAAATTTATTTAATTAACCGACTAATAGTGGCAACTATCTCGCTATGCTGTGTCCCCCCGGCGGTATAACTCACCTGCACAAACCGCATCAGTGCAGCTTCTACGGATTTTTTTAAACAAATCTGAAAGAATAATAAAACACCCTGTATATTAGTATCATTTTATTGAGTTTCCAATGATTAAGTATGTCTTCTCCGATAATTATTTGATTAATCACATGCCGTAACTTAAATTTGCTTGTTTTTCCTAGTGTCTTTATCAGTTGCATGGGTAAGTCGTCTGGCCCTGTCACTGTACTTGCTGGAACCTTACCTAGTGCCTTGTTGCATACTTTTGTTGTCGTCTGCCTTATTACGTAATTCTGCTCCCCATCTAGATCACGGCTGTCAGTGCTATCCGCTGTCCCCCTCTGCTCAAGCTGGGATAAAGCCTCTACGATTGTCTGACCTAATATATTCATGTGCCTCTTTAACCTCTAATCTTCTCCCCTTCTGTGTGGTAGTTAAGCGTTGAAAACTTGGTGGTGACCGTCTGGATCACCTCCCCCGGCGCCCCTCCGATTTCTACCTTTTTTTTTTCTTTAT